TTACAGCAGGGTCCTCAAACTAAACCAAAAGACGTGAGTGCACACACACATTATTTTGATTGCATCCAAGCTAGCTAGGAAAAATGGGTTCCTTCCATACAGCAGAGTCTGCTGGCAATTTGCCAAAAGTCTGTACCATGTGAATTGGTGAAATAATATAATGACATGTTTTGCATATATAATACATTCAGCTCAAGGGGCTCTATATTAAGAAGGGATTTTAATTCCTTTAATTAGGTGATCAGCTATATAAAATATGAGTATGGGGCATAAAGGTAATATTAAACAACATGAGAGATGTTTTTTAAGAGTTAAACTAGTCAGCATTGTAGTGATGCTAATATCTTTAAGATGGTCCGTATTGCTCTCTCTCTCCCATCCATCCTATTTAATTTGTGAGAAAAGGAAACTTTTATATATTTGCATATACTTATATACAAGCGACATTTTGGGAGATGATAGAAAGTGGTTTAAAAATTAGTTTCCAACTGTAGTTTGCCATGTCACTGAGAAACTAGTGCATTCACTCACCTAGGAATTATACTCCACTTTCAGTCCTATGAAAAACATTCAAGAGGCAATGGTGAAGTGTGTCCTTGCAGCATTTCTACCCAACAGAAATCCTACAATGGTTTATTGTTAATTTACCATGTCCCTTCAAATTAGTAGTTTTTTGTTCTATTTCATCAATTTTGTACTGTAATCTTTGACACTCAGACAAATTATTGTCTGAGAAGAAACTTAAGCACTTATTTCAGCACATGGTATCGGTTTTCCTGCGCTGCATACTAAAACTGCAACAATAAGAAAGATAAATGTTTTCTACACTCAGAATGATATTCAAGCTATGACACAGCTAAGTTAGCTGGCAAGGAGTCAGGGACCACTGGAAAACAGTTTCTGAGAAAAATGAGAATTAAGCAAAACTTACTGACAGAAATTTCATATAACAGTTGTTTAGGGAGAAAAAACAGCAGGGGTCAGAGAACAAGTGTGAAGAGCAGAGAAGCATTCTGAAAGTGAAAACACAGCTTGCTTTCATGACAGAAAAGTCCTCTAGAGTTATTTCTTCTTGGTTAATCAAAAGGACCCTCTCATGCAAGTTACATTTTACCAACATTATTAATTACAGTAGTGCCTAAGAGCCAACTCCATTGTGCTTGGCACTGTACAAACACTGATAGCTGGTCCCTGTCCCAAAGAGTTTACAATCTAAATATACAAGACAGACACAGGGTGGGGGAAAAGGCATACAGGGGTGAACAATGTGATGTGGCAGCAAACATCAGGTTACTTGCACAAGTTGGGGGGAGGTAGCTAGAAGGGGATAAGCTACATGGAAAGAAAAGGGAAGGGAGAGGGGACAATGAAAGAGGAAGGGGGTGAGGGGGACAGGGCAGAGACAAGCAGATAAGAAAGACAGGTGTGGAGTGAGTGAAGCTAAAGTGAAGAGACTTCTAAGGAAAGGGGAGGGTTGGAGCAAACAGCCAATCAACACAGAGCAGAGAAAGTCCAGTCAAAATGTTAGAAAGTTCTCTGAATGTCCAGAGGACCAAAGGTCTCTGGTTTGGCTGCTTCTGATCCTACAGTCTGGAGCCTCTGGATGGCTCCTCTCTGTAGATTTACCTAAGGCAGGGCCGGCTCCAGGCACCAGGCACCCAAGCTGGTGCTTGGGGCGGCACCTGGAGGGGGGCGGCGGCGCAGCGCTCCGGCCCCCGGGGAGAGCGGGGCCACAGCAGGGCTCGCCGCCCTCCCCCCGGCCGCCGGGGGGAGAGCCGAGCCCCAGCTGGGGCTCGCTGCCCTGCCCCCGGTGCTCTGGCCGCCGGGGGAGAGCCGAGCCCCAGCTGGGGCTCGCCGCCCTGCCCCCGGCGCTCTGGCCGCCGGGGGGGGGGGGAGAGAGCCGAGCCCCCGCCGGGGCTCGCCGCCCTCCTCCCAGGGCCCCGCCCGCCCCCCCCCCCCCCGAGCCGGCCCTGACCTAAGGCCACACAATGGGGAGGGGTTGGAGAAAAGGGAGAGAGAAAGGCACTACCTGGGTCCTAGACCTGCCAGAGTTTGGGAGGGAGGTCTTCCCTGCACAGTTCTGGGTCCTCGGAGGAATCTTAACCCTCCACAGCAAGACAGCATTTTACATTATGCTTTTACATTGTGCTTCACCTCAAATTTCCCAACCCCTTCTCCTTTTCACTCAGGATTCTCCAAATCACTTATTGGTAATGATAATTTATGTAGCACCATAAATGTTAATATTGCTGTACTTAACACAGAAAAGACAGACCCTATGACAAATGACTTTACAATCCAACACAATCTAGCTAATCTACCTAATGCCCAACAACCAACTTCCAGCTGTAGTGATAATGCTGACTACTCTTTGGGGTGTCTCTAGAAATTATAATATTATTTTCAACAGTCCTTCTTCCAGTTTCACTGCCTTTCTATTGGATTTCTTTCTCAGGAGAGAAGTGAAGTAAGCATCATACTCACCTGAATCAGAAAAGGCCATGCACTTAGGCTGTATGCTGTGAGCTCAGAATATTCTTTAGAGCTTTTCTTTTCTGTACCTACTAACCAGACATCTGGCGTCACCCCACTGAATGCCCACTTATCTGCAAATTAGGCATCATGGCCTAAATTCTCAAGTAGCTAGTGATGATTTTGGGTGCCTGTATTTTCAGATGCCCCATTTGAGGCACTTCCAAGGACCTGATTTTCAGATGGTGGACGCTCAGCACTTTCTGAAATTCAAGCTCCTTTAAAGTGCCTCAAGTTAGGCACCCTACAATTGAAGTGTCCCCAATCCCCAGTTACTTTTGAAAATTATTCATTTGCCAAAATGCTTAATTTGCCAACGATCGGGAGTTAATTGGAGTGACACCAAAGAGGCCCATATCTCCCCACAAAACAAAATTAAGTGGAACTCAAGACACGGTAATGGCCTAATTGCTGTTATCACTATTCTTGGTTATTTGTATTGAGGTAACACCTAGAAGCCCCATGCATGTACCAGGGCCCTGCTGTGCTAGGCGCTGTATGAATGCAGAACAAAAAGACAGTCCTCGCCCCAAAGAACTTACAGTTTATGTGATATATTCATTTCTTTTATGTGCCAGTTTTAAAAACATTCGAAGAACGCTTTCCAGGTGTCAAAGACATCCTTTGAGTTGTTGCAAATCTGAATAGAATAGCATTAGATTACAGGAAAAAAACCTCCTCCATTCCCATAAGAGACCTGCATATTCTTTATATAGCTCACAGACCATTTTTTCCTTGCTTTATTCAGTTTGTACTAATGTGTTCATTCAGTGCCTAGGCCACATACATTCAATATAAAAACTATTATGAGAAATGTGCAAAAAACTGGTCCTCCTAATAAAAAAGACTCTTTCCACTACCCCCACATCCTTCTGCTCCTCCGATCTCTCCAGTAAAAGCCTGGGAGAACAAATGGGTCTTAGAGTGTGACCTGGAAGTTAAAAGACTTGGGGTGAACAGAAGTGGCTTCCAAGTTGAGGACCTCTTGCAATTAAATCAAGGGAATGTTAGCTAGAGCACCTCAGCTGATCTCAACACCTCCTGTATTTGGTAAGGAGAGAGCTGCTCTCCACACTAACCAGAATCCAACACATATAAAGCTTTATTTGTTAAAACTGACACTTTTGAATTACACCCAGAAATGAACTGACAGCCAGGGTCCCTGAAGCAAATACTTCTCAAAATACGGGTGGCAGCATTTTGCACTGGCTGACATTTGCAAGTTTAGCCTATCTTCACTCCACCCTCAAGACACAACATGGCAACTCTCCTTATCCTTGTGGCCAAAGCCAGGATACAGATACCCTCAGAGCCCAGGCAAGCCCCTGTTTAACTGGACAGAGATCAGCAAGGGTTGAGCATTCACACAGCACCCTCTTCCCAGGAACAGTTGCCTCCATAGCAGTTCCAGCCCCAGCTAGCTTAGGGAGTGGAAATCAACCTTAGGGAAAAGTACTTCTTAGCCATAAAGGAGAAGGCTTTAGAAAGTCAATCTTGTGAATCCTATTTAAGGAAGGCTGTGACTTTTCAGGCAGTTATTCTGGCCTGGTCAGTCCAGATTAACTCAAACCTTGGCCATTTCTAGTCTATTTCACCATTTCTTCCTAAGTAACTAAACTTTTGCCACAAAAGGATGAATTTTACTGCCTTCATTCCATTAATCATTATTGTGGCCTATCCACCGCCCCAGGTCACGTTACTGACTACCCACTTGAAACACATTAGGCTAAATTCTATCCTCAGTCATACCATGGAATCCCAACTGGGGTAGCACTGGTTTAACTGAGAACAGGAATTGGTCTATGGAGAGTTACACCTCTACCCCGATATAACGCGACCCGATATAACACGAATTCGGATAGAACGTGGTAAAGCAGTGCTCTGGGGGGGCGGGGCTGCGCACTTAGCAGGGCCGGCTCCAGGCACCAGCCGACCAAGCACATGCTTGGGGCGGCACCTTGTAAGGGGCGGCCAATCTTGGGGTGGCGGGGCGGCGCTCGGGGTTTTTTGTTTGTTTGTTTGTTTTGTTTCAGCGGGGCAGCGCTCGGGGGTTTTTTTTTTGGTTTGGCGGGGTGGCACTCGGGAGTTTTTGTTGTTGTTGTTTTGGTTCAGCGGGGTGGCGCTCGGGGGGGGGGATTGTTTTTGGTTCGGCGGGGCAGCGCTCGGGGGGGTTGGTTTTGGTTCGGCAGGGCGGCTCTGGGTTGTTTTTTTGTTTGTTTTTGGTTCAGCGGGGCGGCGCTGGGGGGGGGGGGGGTTTGTTACGGCGGGGCTTTTTAAATTATTTATTTATTTATTTATTTATGCTTGGGGCAGCAAAAAAGTTAGAGCCGGCCCTGGCACTCCGGTGGATCAAAGCAAGTTCGATATAACGCGGTTTCACCTATAACGCAGTAACATTTTTTGGCTCCCGGGGACAGCGTTATATCGAGGTAGAGGTGTATGTAGTGAAGGTAAACTGAGAACCCTACCTGCTCGGGGTTCTACAGTCCTGTTAGCACCGACATCCATGAACACAAATCGTCCGCCACCAAAATCTTCAGTGTAGTCAGACAGATAAAGCAGCGATGTATAGTCAAAGGATCCGTAGGTTACCTAGAAACAAAGAGAGCACATTAAATTACCTGACTCCAGTCTGGCCTCTCCAAAACGCAAACTCCAGATCCAATAGATCTAAGGGACTTTTCCAGTTTTTCACATCTTATTTTAGACATTAACTAAAAAGCTCTCTAACTCTGGGAACAAACTGTTCATTTCCTAGTAGCTTTAGAAAGACTATCGACCTCTGTCAGCCTAACCACTCTAGCTATTTTTTCTCCTAGGAAAAAGGATACCAGCTCCTGACCTGACATTTTGGCCTGATGTTAAAAAAGTATAGGAACACAGAGATAGATATTGTATCAAGGTGAAAACTCTGCAGGGCTGGAGATGAAAAGGATTCTCGCAATCTCTGACGGATTAGTTTCCCCTCTTATCTAATCACAGATAAGAGGGCTATTTGGGCAACTCACCTTTCACTCCCTCACCCTTTCTCCCTTTCATCTGCTAGCATACAAGGACTCAGATGTGCTGATGATTCAGATCTTCCAAGTAGACTTACTTCTGTTAGAGGAACAGATCCTCTTTTTTACTTTGTTTTGTTAAAAAAGTTCACAGATGGCTTTGGAAATAAAATGTTTTTCTACAAAGCACTGAGGACCACATGTTTTAAGTTCATCACACGCTGTGCCTTTTAAATGTCATAATGCCCTTCGGACTGTCTTTGTCCTTAACAATTTCTTTTTTTTTTTTACATTACTAATTTTGCTTGATACCTGGGTTCAAGAGGAACAAATTAGAACTATTCAGATCAATAAATGCCTTGCAAACCCATAAACTGTCTTGACATTTCCAGTTCAAATTATTATTTTTTTAAAGTATAGGTGCACCAGTGTCAGATAAAGCCAAAATTTTGACTGAGTCGTAGTTGCATACATGAGCAATGACTATAAGAGAGAGAATAAAATGAGATTTGGAGAAAATTAAGATACCAGATGGAGGATGAGGCTCTTCTTTACATTTATTTCATTTAGCTATTTTGAGCCTAAGGATTTAAAAGAAAAGTTACATCAGAAAAAACAAGCTGTATTAAAATCTAAATCTGGAGTAAGGGAATTTCAGCCTTTCCCTTTATCCTCTTTGTCTAAACCACATTACAAATGCAAGGCAATGTGGAAGGGCATTAAAGAAAGTGATGTTATTAATGACATTTTAGTCCCAATACCCTGAAGGTTCATCAACTTTTTCAGGCTAGTAATAAATCCCCACTCCATAATTCTGTCTTCCTTGCAGCCAATACTGCAGAGACACCTTCAGCTAAAAGGACATGTTGGCTTGCACTGGAGATAAGACCACAGGTTGCTTCAGGAATGGGAAGGCTGCCTCTCTCATTTCACACTCGTTCAGTGCGACTTACTGAGAGAGAGACTTAAGAGAGAGCTCTCTTACATGCTTGCAAGTCTCAGGCTTTAGGGGCTTTTATTATGGTATACAATCAACAGTGCAGTGCTCCTCTCTCCCTCAGTGATGTCCTCCATTCTCTCTCAACCTACCCCATCAACTCTGACCCTATGACCTACAAAAAAATGGCCATGTGGCTACCTATACTTTTTCAGACACTGAAAAGGGGACATTCCTCTGACTGCAAACGAAGTTAGTATATACAGTTCCTCCTCCTAATTTATAAACTTGAAAAAGAAATTGTAAAACCTTATTTGTCTATTTCAGAGTAGCAGCCGTGTTAGTCTGTATCTGCAAAAAGAACAGGAGTACTTGTGGCACCTTAGAGACTAACAAATTTATTAGAGCATAAGCTACAACCCACGAAAGCTTATGCTCTACTAAATTTGTTAGTCTCTAAGGTGCCACAAGTACTCCTGTTCTTATTTGTCTATGTTTTCAGCAAGGCTCTGGCCAGTCCTCTGCAAAACCAATTTTTCAGCAATAGTGCATTTGTACTAGTGATACTAACCAGTGAAGAGCTGGTGTTGGGTTTTTTTGTTTAGTCAGCATGTCCATCTAACCTTTAGCAGCAAATAGCTTTTTCTATTACTGTTCTTCACGATTGCTAGCACTCAAAGGTAGATCAGTATTAAGAAGTGGTGACACTTTATAAGTGGTCACTGAATGACACTAAATTATAACAGCCTCTCTGGAATAACACAACATCCTATGAATATCAAATGCATTTATTATCCCACTAACATTAAATATCAAAAGGCTAAATAAATTACATGGGAAAAAAACCTCTATTATAATTGAAACCAACTAATAAAAATCATACTGACAACTACAGACAGATCAATTTTCAAAAGTTCTTTATGAATAATTTAACTTAAAACATATGGATGTGGCAAAGCAAAGATCATTTAGACATTTCTGCTAGTTAGTTTGCACAGTCATACAGCATGAGCCAACAGAAACTCTCTAAAGTGCACTATGCTAATCTGTACACCCTTTATAATTTCATACCAAAATGACAGCTTTAATAGCAGATGCTAATTTAGGCCTCATGTTACTAAAACTGCTTTATTTTTTCAATGACAATATGATTAGCACATTATGAAATGTTATATGTTAAACTAAATTACAACTGTCAAAATTAAGTTATTTTGTAATGGATCCTCGATTTTTTTTTTTTAAATTTTGTTTATTTGCTTACTCACCAATTTGATCATTTCAGTAATTTGAAATAGGTTTCCCTGTTATCATTAGCAAGGATATACTTTTTATTCGTGTTGTGCTTCAAGATACAGAGACTAATGTGAATAGGACTGAATTTGTACTCTATCCATTTTCCAATCACACGGTCCATGGCATATGAGGAAACTGATAGATCAGTAAACTGGTTCTGAGCCCAAAATAAGAACCCCATTCAAATGCAAACCAGCTATGATGCAGAAAAACTGCCTTCTTACAGAGATGAACAACTGTGGCCCCTATTGGCATTCAGATCTGTTCAGGCAATACCTGGAGCACATTCAGAGCCCCACTGAACTCTCTGGAACACTCTGTACAAAACCCTAGGAGATAAAGTGCTTTCCCAGACAGCAGGTGGAGATGTGGGGCATTTTTGTTTAAAGTTCAGCACATTGCATTATCAGTAGCAGAGAGGGAAAGAAAGGTGGGGTACTGATTATGTTTCACAATCAATTCTTGAATGGCTTGGCAGGTGGATAAGAATTATATTCAGAGACATTCTGACACTTTAAAAAAAGTCTAACAAATCTATGGTTTTAAACACTCTCCTCCCCCAACCATTCACCAAGAATTAGAGGTAAAGAACTGGTGCTTGTAAATGAAGCTGTTTATTTACAGACCCAAAATAGCAACATTTCATCATCAACCACTAATAACCTTCAGTCTTTATCACGTACCTATCATTTGATATGATCTGATTTCTAATAGCATCTGTGACGGGTTGGACCCCCCTTCTGGGGTGCCACCAGATGTGCAGGGGTCCCAAAGCCCGCCAGTCCTACCAGCCTGGGTTTTCCTTGCACTGGGTTGCTGTGCCAGGCTCTCAAGCCCCTTTCTAGCACACACCCAGGCAAGGCCATGTGTGCAGCTGCAGACAGACTGAAATCAGCTAAGGGAATGGCCAGCACTCCAGTGCACACACCACCAGGAGTGTAAACCCCAGAATAAGATTGTCTTGCACTGTATAGAAAGATCTGCATAGCGCAAGCTCATAGAAATTCACCCTCTCCCTCAATGAGGAGAGAGATATGCAAAGCTTTTTGCCACCCTTATATGAATTGCACAAACTGGGTTTTGAAATAAACAAGAAATAAGTTTATTAACTACAAAAGGTAAATTTTAAGGGATAGCAAACAGAACAAAACAGATTACTGAGCAAATAAAACAAAACACTCAAGCTAAGCTTAATATACTCAAGAAACAGGTTACAAAATGTATTTTCCCACCCTAAATGTTGGTTTAGGTAGGTTGCAGAGTTTCTGTAGTTTAGAGTTCCAGTTATTTCTCTTTACAGACTGGACCCCCGTCTCAGCCTGGACTCAGCCCCTGCCTTTCCCTTCAGGTGTTTTTAGCAATCTTCCTTCTTGGATGGGGAGGCAATTAAGAAGAGTCTTGATTGCCTTACTCCCCAGCCTTAAAGAGAATTTACATAAGGCGGGAACCCTTTGTTTCCAGTGGAAAAATACCAACAGTGCCTAAATGTGTTACTCCGTACCAGGTGACATTATCAGATGACCCATCAGCGTCAAAGCAACATCCCAGGAAGCTCCTCAGGATGGTGGGATATAAGTATCTTCAAAGTTCTATTGTCCTTCTTAAATGGCTCATTCAGGCTGATTGCCTACTATCTGGTGGGCATTCCCCCAAATACACACACAGTTGTAATTGTTACAAAGTCAATATTCCTAACCTCAGATACAGAAATGATACATGAATACAAATTGGATAAACACATTCAGTAGATCATAACCTTTTCAATGATACCTCACATGACCCATCTTGCATAAAACATATCTTAGTTATGCCATATTCATATCATAATATTTCTATGACAAATATGGGGTGTAACGTCACAGCATCTACATTCAACAACAACCTCTCTTCTCAATCACAAGCTAACTCTCTTTTCTAGCACACTTTTCCCCCCTGACTTCACTTTTGGCCCTGTCTTCTTCTTAGCATATGTGCAACGTGCCTCAAGTGGCACACAACCAGGATTCATCACCAAATTTGGTCTACGGGTTGGATCATCAGCTTTCCCGGCCCAGGCGCTGATGGGGACCACGACATGAACGCTGATCCATGTCCCCCCTTGGCCCTATAAAAATACTGAAGTATCCTTTTTATGTGCATATATGGTGCTTAAATAAATAATATTAAATAATAGTACTACATACATAGATAAATTCATTCAAGATGCAATGTTTGGATCCTTATTTCAAACACCTCTATGTTCAAGCAAAATGCTAATAAAAAGGAAATGTTATCAGAGCAAAAAGTCTTCAGAAACTTTTTGACAGAAACACTGAAAACAATCAGGAAGTTGCCACAACGTGCATAGACCAACTGACTGGGGG